CTCCCTAATCTCACACATGTTGATTTCTGTATCAACAATCTTTCTGGGGTTATTCCACCTCAAATTAGTTACCTTTCCAAGCTTGTCTATCTTGATTTTTCCATCAATCAGTTTTTTGGGACAATCCCACCAGAAATTGGCCTGCTACAGCATCTTGAGATCCTCCACCTTGCTGAGAATCATTTCAACGGCTCATTTCCTCAAGAAATAGGTCACCTGAAGTCTCTTAAGGAGCTTGATATGTACACCAACAACTTAGAGGGTCCCATACCTGCATCTGTAGGCAACTTGACCAATCTGGCTTGGTTATCTCTCTCTAGCAGTTCCTTCTCAGGTTCCATTCCCCCAGAAATGGGAAATCTCTCTGGCTTGGTTGAACTTTACCTAGACAACAACCTTTTAACTGGTCCTATTCCTTCCACCTTCGGAAACTTGAGAAACCTTACCCTAGTTTACTTGTTCAACAATAATCTTTCTGGTCCAATCCCATCTGAGTTAGGATACATGACATCCCTCACCTATCTCAGCCTTCAAATGAACAATCTCTCTGGTGCCATCCCAGCATCAGTAGGTAACCTAAGAAACCTCCATGAACTCAAGCTCTATGAAAATCAACTCTCCGGCTCCATACCTAATGAGATAGGAAACCTGAACTCTCTTGTTGACCTGGAGTTGAGTGAAAATCAACTCAGTGGCTCACTCCCCTCCATCTTTCACAATCTGACCAGCTTGAATATTTTACACCTTCGTGCCAACCAACTTTCTGGTTCCATTCCTCCAGAAATTGGAAATCTTAAGTTGTCAATATTGGAAGTAGACCACAACCAGTTCACCGGACGGTTGCCACAGAACATTTGCAAAGGTGGATCACTGACAGATTTCACTGCAAATGAAAACCAATTAGAAGGCCCAATCCCTAAAGACTTGAAAAACTGCACCAGCTTAGAGAGAATCTTCTTAGGAGGAAACCGTCTCACGGGCAATATATCTAGTGATTTTGGTGTCTACCCCAACCTTTACATCATAGATCTTAGCCATAATAAGTTCTATGGTGAACTGTCGTCTAGTTGGGGAAGGTGCCCAAAATTAGCCACCCTAAAGATCTCAGGCAACAATATCACTGGTAGGATCCC